GATGTAGAGCATTCTGTTCCCCATGTACACACGCAAAATGGCCTTGCAGAAGCAACCATTAAAAGACTACAAATGGTAGCTCGGGCATTGATTATGCGTTCTAATTTGCCCACATCTGCATGGGGTCATGCCATATTGCATGCAGCTTTACTTATTCGCTTGAGACCCACTGCTTCACAACCATTCTCTGCATACCAGTTGGTGACTGGTTATGAGCCTGACATTTCACACTTACGGATATTTGGTTGTGCAGTGTATGTGCCGATTGCGCCCCCACAGCGCACTAAAATGGGTCCTCAAAGACGATTAAGTATTTATGTTGGATATGAATCCCCAACCATTATTCGCTATATAGAACCTTTGACAGGTGATCTTTTTACTGCTAGATTTGTAGACTGTCACTTTGATGAGACGGATTTCCCGTCGTTAGGGGGAGATAAGAAAAACCCTCCAAGCGAACGACAAGAAATATCGTGGTGTGTCCCCACACTGTCTCATTTTGATCCCCGTACTTCACATTGTGAAAGCGAAGTGAAAAGAATAATTGATCTCCAAAACGTGGCAAACTCGATGCCCGATTCATTTACTGATATTGCTAAAGTGACAAGATCACACATACCTGCTGCAAATGCACCTGCAAGGTTAGAAGTCCCAATTAAAAGGAAAAATGCCATAATGACAGGCATTACATCCACACCGAGTGGAAGTGTGGGTGAGGCTGTGGCTCCTCAAAGGAAGAGAGGAAGGCCACTTAGTTCGATTGACACTCATCCAAGGAAGAAAAGGACGAGTGCGGCACAAACTAATCCGTTACACATCGATGTTGAACATCCATCTCATGAGATTATCTCTGATTATAGTTATGTCCATGAATCATTACTGGAGGACGCTCCGATGTTTGATATGATTCAAGAGAATAAAGAAATCTCAATGGATTATGAAAGTGCACATATATTACTAGAAAGATCTTCAACACACATCGATGATGTATTTGCTTTCAGTGTTGCTCTAGAGATAATAGAGCATGA